GAGTTAGCTCTCAACTTCCACTAGAATTCTGTGCTATTCTACCTGAAGTCCTCATCTGACATTTATTCTCGTGCTTCCCAAGAACAACAGCCTCCCCAGACCCCACTCTGCTGCGACAGAGAGCATATAGGCCCCTTGCATTGTTGGCTTCTGTGTCTGCATTTACCAAAACTGTTACCCTGTATTAGTCCTCAAGAGACAAAAATTCCAGGAAGAGTTGACATTCCCAGAAGTCCTCATAAATACCTGTTTTCAAGGTCAGGACCACCTTGATAATGTGTTTTCATAAACTCTACACCAGTGATGGTGAACCTTTTAGAGCTTTCAATGATAACCAATAGCTGGCTGTAGATGCATGCCATAGGTTTACCACCACTGCCCTAGACTATGCTTACTTTATCATAATACAAGATATTTTAACAATAATTAAATTACGTTAAATTTTTTATTGATCACCTCTCCACCAATCGCTCAGATTTTTTTCTGAGAAAAAGGATTTATGTCATTCCTTTTATGTAAAAATGAACAAAAAATTGGCAAAGTAAATTCTAGTCCATTTTTACTTTGATTATCACTATAAGCCTAAATATCTGAATATCATCAATGGGGATAACATTTATCTTACATAATTCTTAAGCATTTTACGATGAGATAAGAAAGCCCATTAAGGAAGCTGGGCATGATGGTGCATACCTGTAATCTCAGCCTCTCAGAAGGCTGAGGCTGGAAAATTAAAAGTTTGAGGCCAATCTGGGTAATTTAGTGAAACTCTGTCTCAAATAAAGAAATAAAAAGGGCTAGGAACATAATTCAGTGGTTGAGTCCTTGCCTAGCATATGCAAAGCCCTGTGGTCAATTCCTGATACCACACACACACCAAAGAAATTCCACAAGTAGAAGGTGTTACTTTATAAATGATAGACATTTCTTTTTATTTGCTCAATAACGTATCTCCCTTCCTAGGAATATTGGTGTTTTAATAGAAGGTAAGCAAACAAACCCAAGGTGAAAGCAGTGATTTTCTAATTGTGGAATCGTCCTCATCTGTAACCAGGTGGGAAAAAGTGTATGTGTTTTGTAAGGGTACATACAAGGACACCGGAACCCTTGAAATACACATGCTATAACTTCCATCATTAGGGAGCCCTGGGCCCATCCCTACTGCAGTGATGGCAAATCCTTTAGAGATGAGTGCCCAAACTGCCACCCAAAACTCACTTATTTATTGCAAAGTGCCAATACTGCAGTAAAACCTGAATAGTGAGGTTTTAGTTTAGAAAAAAAAAAAACTCATACATTAACACCTTTCCTCTTAAAAGACAAACAACACTCGTGCCATAGGTTCACCACTGCTACTGCATAGTAATGAGAAATTAGAAGATTCAAGAAGCATAAAATAGATGGCATACAGTGATAGCCAACTATGTAGTAAGCAGTGTCCTAAGCTTTTTACATTTATTAATCTGTTTAATCTACTCAGTGCTCCATAAAGTAGATATTACCAATTATTTCTATTTTATAAATAAGGAAACTGTACCTGAAAGTTTAAATAATTAGCCCAAGACCACATAGTTGCAAGGCCAATAAAGAATTTGGATCAGATTTTCCCTGACAGCAAATGGATTTTTCCATTCTAATACACTATATTTATTATCACAAAAAAGTACTGTCTGCCCTCTCTGAAATGAAACTACATAATCTTGGCAAATCCTATTCAGGGGGAGGGGGAGTTTTTTAAGGCTCAGTCAGAGAATGATTAAATTAAATTTCCCATTATAGGTTACCAAAGGAAGTGGGAAGAATGGGATGACTGTATTGGGGAGAAATACTTGTATTTCTAGTTATAGCATACAACACTACATGAATTCCTGAGTGGATGCTGAGAAATGAGGTCAAAGTTAGTCATAGCACACGGTCCACATTATCTGCCCCCAGAGCAATACTGTCATGGAGAGCCACTCAGCACTGGCTGGAGATAATTCTGGAGAGCTGGATAGGACACACCAGGGCCCTGTTTCCTGTCATCTTTATTTGAAGACCAGGCAGCAATACACCAAATGGAAGAACAACTGAAGAGACATCAGGAACATGTCAGAATGAACGAGAAGTGCAAGTGTCTAATGGAAGTTTCTACTTCACTCCAACCCCCCTGCAATTAGCAAAGAAGCGATAGGGGCCCTAAAGGGCAGGAGAGATTATGTATTTAGGCAATTCTTACCAGGCTTGTAGTGGAAAAGTTAGGCATGTCCAGTAGCAAAGCTATGGAAACTATTAGAAACTGAGCTAATTGCAGGCTTCTTAGTGAGCTTCAGGAAATGGGAAGGCATTTCTCCCTTTCAGGCTTGTATTTTTTCCAATTTTACTTGTTCAGGAAAGAATTAATTTTTTAAGCAGTGTAATCTCCTGCTATGATTTCTCAACTCTGCAAAGGAAAATAATTATAGATTAATAATGGACTGAAATAGAAAATGCTATGTGTGGAGCAGATAAGTGGGAAATGTTCTGTCTTGTAACCTGTATTGTTTTGGTTCCTGGCAACACGGAGGAACCATTCTTGCCTATGCAACTCTAAATGAAGGTTAGAACTCACCTTGCTTTCCTACTGGTGTAAATTTTCAGTCTCAGTGGAACTAAGACCCTAGTTGGGAGTAAGAAAAATCTTCATGATACTGATATATTTTTCTTCTTAGACTGAGATTTGTGTCCTTTCTCAGGCAGCATAGCTGAGCACCAATTTAAGGATGTTTCTTATGGTAAAATTTTAATTTATTGAGAACATTCTGTGGATTGAGCACTGAGATAAATATCTTACATATATTATTTATTCAAAAGATATGTCTTGAGCAGCCACTGGGTGTCAGAAACCATGTTGGGTTCTCAAATAACTGTTTTGTCTCTATTCTCCCATTATCTCTGGAAAAAATGGGTGGCATTGTCCTTATTTTACAAATTTTAAAAAGTGAGATTCAGAGAACGTAAGTAATATACATAAAGTCATACAATTATTATGTGAGATAGGCTGCAATCAAAGGGCTTAGAGTCTCCTGACTTCTTGAACTATTGATGCTTCTGAAACCCACATCAGGCCCACCGTGGGGGCCACAGCCCTTTGTGTGCAGCTTCCCAGGTGCCCAGACTCCTTCTGTCTCCTGTTGACTAATGACATGAGGCACAGAGCCTCAGTACTAGGTATTGTGTGCTTTCCAAGATGACAGGTACCTAACTAATTTAACAAAACAATTTTAAAATGGTAGACTAGAGTAGATTGCCAGTGATTACCATCTCTTCTCAGGTGCATCATGATGACATTGGCCTTCTGCATACACCATGCCTATGTCTTTTCTATTTGTTAAAGCTAGGAGGGGTGAAGAAAGATGCAGATAGGCAAGTTGAGAAGCAGGTATTTCCGTCGGTGATTCTTGAAACAGACTCTTTCTGGATTCACTTACAGGTCTGTATCCAAGAGTCATATTAGTTTGCCTGTTGGTTGAGTGGGCAAAGGTATCCATGTATCACAGAAGTGTTCTGAGAGAATTTCTTCCCAATAACCAAAGCACCTTTAAGCAAACAGAAGGAAACTAAAGTTCACAAATACAGTAATTGCTCAAGTCAATGAGTTAGTGATTTCGTGTAGGGTCACTGTTAGGACATTCCCAACTGACAGACCAAAACAATTGTTTCCCAGCAGAATTACAAAAGAGCATTTAGCATAATCTATATATTTCAAGAGGGTCCTTTTCTGCTGTTCCTGGAGTGCTTGCGAGTTATATTTATGTTAGCTTGGTAGGTAGTTCTATAAATGTGTCTGGTTAATACTCTACAAACCTTAGTGTTTTACATTTGCCATGCAAGTTGTCTTTTTCCATAGGAAAAATATTTTCAGGCAAAAATTTTTTATGTAAAAATATAAAATAAAATCAAGTTATTTTGCAGTTGTAAAATATTAGAATCAAAAAAATCACGAATATTTCCTTTTTAGTGGTTCCATATGTATTACAGAATGCTTCAGTACTTCTTAATCTGGTAAAATTTAGCTATCCTTTATTTTCATAGCTACATACCAGTACTTCTACAATAAGATTTCTTTTTTTAAAAAAGCTGGATATGGCAGTGCAAGCATGTAATTCCAGCACCCAGGGAGGCTGAGGCAGGAGAATCACAAGTTTAATCTCAGCTAGGGAAACATAGTGACTTAGCAAGACCCTGTTTCAAAATAAAAATAAAAAAGGGCTGGGGATGTGCTCAGTGGGAAATCCCTGGGTTTAGTCCCCAGTACCATAAAGAGAAAGGAAAGAAGAGAGAGAGATAGAGGGAGAAAGAGAGAGAGGAGGAGAGGGAGAAAGAGAGGGGAAGGAGAAGGAGAAAGAGAGGGAAATGGATTGGGAGAGAGAGAAAGAGAGAGAGATGTTTTTAGTAATAAAATGATTTTATTGCTCAAAATGAGAATTCATTTTATTGTGCTTATTTATCTATCATTTTCCATTCTTTGAAATCTGGAATACGTCATAACTTTATACTATCACAAGGTGAGTAGACTTTCATTTTTGTTCCTCAATCTTTTTGTTTTTTTTTTTTGTTCCTCAATCTTTATTTCTGACGTTTTCAACAAATAATTTGCTTGGTGAAAAGATTTGAAGCTTAAATCAGCTTTATAATTATCAAGTGACCTTCCAAGTTCCCCCAATAGGAATTTATAAAGAAACCACTAGATTCAGATTTTATCCTTTCTTATTTCATTTTGGATTGCTAAAATAACAGTCCCATCATTGAGCTGACATTCTCTCTTGAACAATTTGCCAAGGTCTTTTTGTATGTAAAGGCCTCATCAGTTGGGCTGTCTTTACACTGGATCTCGGTGAAGATCACAAACATTATGCGAACCTAGCACAGTTATTTGCTTGGAAACGCTGGTGATTTCATACAGGTTGTATTTCTTAATAGTACAGAAAAAGTGTAAAAACACATACAGTTTTAATAGTAAAATGTCAATGTCATAGTATTCAAACGAGACCTTACGTGCCAAATATAGAAACACACACACACACACACACACAATCTCTGATGTGTTATAGCACACTCAGCACCAACATCCCTGTCACAGTTCCGTCACATATTCATAGCCAGGCAGGTAGCCGCTGTGTTTAGGATTGCATTCCTGCATGTGCGCCATCTTGGCATACTAATATATGTAGAAGGACCTGTTTGGCCCTTTTTTTAAAAAGCCATATTAAGAGATTTTCTACTTCCTCCTTCATACTTGGAGTTTATCCAAATGCAGAATACGAGGACATTTTTTCCCTTCTGAGTTGTTTTGTTCTCGTGTTGTTATTTTCCCTGGCTGACACGGATCTTGCAAAGCTGTCAACTTTCCAAGCCTTCCTCAGCAACTTCTCTGAACGCAGTGCCACCGCTCTGTACCTCTTCTGTCGCTGCACTTATCACAGCACATGGTGACTGTCTATGATGAGGGAAGTGTTCCTCCCTCCTTTAAGGGGAGACTTCTTCGACAGAAAGGAGCGAGCCATATTTACCGTTGTTTCCCCCATTCCCAATACAGAGCCTGGGTGTATAATAAGCTCTGAAAAAAGTCTTGTTAATCGGCACATAAACTTTCGAGAATTTCATATGGTCTTCTTCATTTGGAGCAGATGTCTCCATTTCACCTGGTTGATTTTCATAAAGACAAACATTAGGGAGAGAGGAAAGAAGAACATTATTCTGCAAGATATCTTAATGTGCTGTATTGTGAACATGAAGCTGTAATTTGGTGGTTCTTATCAATGAAGATTGTCTCTAAATTTCAGAATTTTAATTACTATAAAACACCTTCATTTCTAACTAGTATCATTATGTTATTTTGTAATGTTTTCAGTAGGAAACATCTGATTGAAATATATTTCTTTAGATATTTTTGTTATACCTCATGAGCTACATTTTCTCCAATTTATAAATCCCACTGAAGAAATAAGATAGATATTTTTGATAGCAACTCTTTTAGATGTTTTGTTTGTGGAAACTATAACTTTAAAATTCAACTTAAAAATAATATCCTCTTTAAAAATAATTTTTATCAAAAGTTTTATTTTTAGAATATTATAGATTTACATGCATTTATAAGAAATAATACAGAGTATCTTTTACCCCATTTCCTCTAGTGGTAATATCTTGTAAGACTTTTGTACAGCTAGGATATTGATATTGTTATAGTCAAGATACAAAACATTTTCATCATTACAAGGATCCTTCATGGTTAGCTGTTATAGTTACATGTACTTCCTTTCCACACTCCCGCCTCCAAATTTGGTAACCGTTAATATTTCGTCATTTAAAAATGTTATGTAAATGGAACCAAACAGTATTTAACTTTTAGATACTGACTCCATTCTAATTCCTTGGTGATTCTTTTTTTTTTTTCTTTTTTTGGTATATCCTTTTATTGGTACATTTTAGATGTACAATATAATGACATTCATCATTGGAGATAGGCACTTTACATACTCTCTTGGTTCTTATTTTCCCCCTTCCCCTGCCCTCCCTTCAACCCCTCTATCCCTCCCCATTTACAAAGACTTT